GTAGCCGCGAAATGTCCATGGCACACTCCGCGGTGTCCAGGCACCAGACCTCAACTACTTGTGCTTAGGTTTTATAGGTTTAACCGGGTTTAGGGTCTAGGGTGTAGGGTTTGGGGTTTATAGGGTTTGGGTTTCAGAAACACCCTAAATCCTATCAACCCCCCCAAAATACAATTCGTAATGAACCCTACATACACACTTTATACAAAAGACTTAAACACCCTTTATAAACCCTATAAACCCAAAAACGAGAACCTTTCACTTAGAAACCCCGTCTGGAGCCCCACGAACCCCAAACCCCCAAACTCCACGAACATCCCAACGATGGGGATTAGGGTTTGATATGGGGATATATATATATATATATATTCTTGGGTTTAGGGTTTAGGGTTTAGGGTTTAGGGTTTAGGGTTTAGGGTTTAGGGTTTAGGGTTATTGTTTTGCCTATTTTTATTCTTTATGAGGGGGCGGGGGGGTACGCACGTACCGTTTGAAAGGAGGCTTACCCGAAGTTCGAGAACCCCCCCCAAGTGGGACTCAGGGTCTCATGGGTTGCAGGCAAAAGATGAAGAGAATGGCTGCGGGCAGCGATAAACCCTAAACCCTAAACCCTAAACCCTAAAACCTAAACCCTAAACCCTAAACCCTAAACCCTAAACCCTAAACCCTAAAGATTTATTTCCAAGAGTGCTGAAGGAGGTAAAACCCCGACAAGCCCAAGCCCTAAAGCCTTAAACTCTCAAGCCTCTGACCCTTAAGAGTGGCCTGAATTAGTTTAGAAACCTCCAGGAACCCTTAAAAAAGGGACTTGAATTTACTTAGTTTAGAACCTCCAAGCCCTAACTGAAAAGAGGGTTACCAACCTCTACGCCTTAAACTTCAGAAGAGACTTACGTAGAGAGTCCCTAAACCTTAATTTAAGCTTCAACCCTAAACAGCAAACGCGCTAACCCCTAAACCATAAAAAGGGACAAACCGCCATTTGCGGCCGAGACGCCATAGCCCGGCCAACATCTCCCACACTGGGGGTAAGGCCCTCGTGGCGGCAAGATCTTCGCGTTGAGGGTTCAGGGCTCAGGGGTTTGTGGGGCTTAGTAGGGTTGAGTAGGGTTAGGTTTAGTAGGGTTTAGAAAGGGTGGATTCCGGGGTGGATGGTACCAAATTCGAGCAAAGAGATGCGAAGAGGATGGCCCTAAACCCTACTCAGCCCCACACCCCAACCCTAAACCCTACACCTTAACCCTAAACCCGAAACCCTGCATCGGTAAATTCAGGCTCCTGTTGGCTCCTGTCTTTAAACAAGCCCCAAGGTGAAGGATTTAGCTTGGGATGTTCCCCATTATAGTAACAGTCCTTAATAGGGATTCTGGTACCCCCAACTATAATCCCTAAACCCTAAACCCTAAACCCTAAACCCTAAACCCTAAACCCTATAAACCCTAAACCCTAAAACCCAAGGCGCCCGCAGCAGCTTCTCCAGCTCCCGCGCGTCGCGGCGGCGCAGCCGCTCCGCGCCCTGCGTCCGCCTGGAGCACGAAAGCCCAGCGAGCCCCCTCAATATACCTTCATGAAGGGTTTATAGGGTTTAGGGTTTCGGGTTTAGGGTGTAGTGTAGGGTTTAGGATTTAGGGCTTATAAGGTTTAGGGTTTAGGGTTTAGGGTTTAGGGTTTAGGGTTTAGGGTTTAGGGTTTATAAGGTTTAGGGTTTATAAGGTTTATAAGGTTTATAAGGTTTAGGGTTTAGGGGTTAGGGGTTAGGGGTTCGGGGTTACGGGTTAGGGGTTAGGGGTTAGGGTTTAGGGTTTAGGGCTCAGGCTTAGCGTTTTGGGTTTAAGGTCGGAATATACGCATTTCAGACTAAGAACCCTTGTGCAGTTGTATTCCTCCAGGAAAGGATGTTGATACTGGGCTCTCTGGGAAGCGGTGGTGTGGGCTTAGATGAGCTTGGGTTTGGGCTTCAGGGTTTATAGTTTAGGGTTCAGGATGTATAGACCCTAAACCCTGATTAAACCCTAAACCCCAAACCCCAAACCCCAAACTTCTTCGGAGTTGACTGTTAGGTTGTCGTGGCTTGAGGGATTACAGTTTCGGCGTTAGAGGTTTGATTGGGTTGTAGGCCGTAGGGGTATTAAGAGTACAGGCCACCCAAGACGATTTAACAGGGGCTTGTGAGGCCGTTTAGTAAGGGTGGCTTTTAATGTCTTTATGCAGGGCGTACCAGGGAGAAGCCATTAGTCAAGCGCCTGTATTACTTCCTGGTTCGTGGTAGGGACTGATGGAATTTTTCATGTTTACAGGGTATACAGAAAGGGGGAGAAAAGGAACCTCATTCCTCATTCCCTACTCAGAACCAGTACGCAGTCAAACTAAAGCACCTTCAGAAGACATGGCACATCCACTACGCAGCCCAGGCCCTGAACCCTGCATCTATGGGTTCAGAGTTGAGGGTGTAGGAAGGTCTTGAATATTGACGCCAGTGAGCCAAGATCTCACGTTTGCTCCGGCTGGGCGTGGAAACCCTCCTAATCCCGAAACCCTAAATCCTGTAACCCCAAACCCCTAAACCCCTATGCATTTCAAGGCCTTCATTTGCCAGTCCAGCTTAGCCCCCTTCCTCAACCAAAACCCCTCCCCCCCCCCAAACCTGCCAGGCTGCCTGAAAGGTGTGGCAAGATGCTTTCGCCCTCGAAGGGATGGAGTATATAGAGAAACCCCAAACCCCAGACCCAGCACTAAGCATAACCCCGGCCAAGACCGTAAATTCAAAACTTTAATCCCTAAGCCCCATACCCCACATCCGAAATAAACTCCCCCCCTCCCCCGACCTCCCGCCGCCGTCGCGGTGCCCCTGTTGCTCGCTGCCGTCAGCTTCCCCGCCCTCCTGCTTGGCATTCTCAAGTCTTAAGATTGCAGGCTGTTAGATCCTAAGGTTTAGGGTTTAAGGTCCTAGTCTTCTTCTTCTTCTTCTTCTTCTTCTTCTTCTTCTTCTTCTTCTTCTTCTTCTTCTGCAGTGGCCGTGTCGCATAGACACAGCTATGCGTTCACAAGCTAAGTCCAAAACCCCCAGGACTTGGGTGTGGGGTACGGGGTTTAGGGTTTAGGGTTTGGAGGGGGCGGCAACTAGGCCTGTTGGGAACTATGGCTACCCAAAGGCTCCAATGTAGTTCCTTTTTGGGTTAGTTATAGGGGATTCTAGTATACTACCCCCAAAAAGGTACTACACAGGAGCCTTTGGGTAATTATTTGGACATTGAGACCCTGAGGATGTAGGCTCAACTAAGGACTTGAACCGCTGTGCTTCAAAGTGGGTTGGTGCTGCTTAAGTTACCAGAATAAGTGTACTGCACCATGTTGTCTACTATACATTAACTTTTCTTGACCTGAATTATAGGGTTCTTAAGGCTAGTTCATGGTTGGGATAGTATTTAAACATTTACATTATATTCCTTATTGGGTTTAAGTACCCTTACACATGCAAAATGCTACCCAACTACGATTTAGAAGGGAGGGGTGTTCATGGGTGGTAGGTACCTAGGGAACTGTCGGGAAGCTTAGGCTTGGGGAGCCCTATGAGGGAACCTTGGGTTGCATAGCCCCCTCCCCTAAACCCTAAACCCTAAACCCTAAACCCCCCTCCCTTAAGAACCATATAACTGAGTCAAACTCCTTGACAAGTAGCCAGTACAGGGTTTCAGGGGCTTCGTAGTGCTCTTCGGAGCGCTTGGTTTATGGTTTAGAGTTTAGGTTAGGGTTTAGGCACCCCACCCCCCCCCCTCCCCCCTCCTCCCCTCCCCCCCCCCCCCCCCCCCTCCCGCCCCCCCCCCCTCCCCCCCCCTCCCCCCCCCCTCCCCCCCCCCTCCCCCCCCCTCCCCCCCCCACCCTTCCCCCCCCTTCCCCCCCCCCTCCCCCCCCCCCTCCCCCCCTCCTCCCCCCCCCTCTCCCCCCCCCCTCCCCCCCCCTCCCCCTACCCCCCCACCCCCTCCCCCCCCCCCACCCCCACCCACCTCTCTTTTGGCTTGAGCTTGTCCTGGTGCTACCCCCTACCCCCCCAAACGTTTCACAAAACTCTGCCGAGCAGGCTGGGATGATCTTCGAACCATGCGAGCGGGTTTAGACCTCTCAACTATGCTCCAGCACGGTCGGCGGCTTGAGCCGAAGGCTCTTAAATTTCGGGTTTAGGGGCCCTTGTCGCGGGCTTTGAAGCTGCTGGGATCTTCGGGGTTGTGGGGTTTGGGGGTTTGAAGGAATCCTGAACCCTGAACCCTGCCCTTCAAACCCTGAACCCCAGGAACCGTGCGCAGTAAACTGTGAAGTCCGAGCCCGTATTTGACACTTAACCGCATGTGAAACCCCCTACTTTGGCATTCTGAAGCATTCTCCACCTTGAACCCCTCAGCTCCTATGTAAACCCAAAAAAGTGAAAGCTGAAAACCGAAGCCCTCAACATTTGAACCCTTCAGCCATTGTAGATCTGCACACTCCACCCTACACCAATAACCCCCCCCCCCCCCGCTCGAAGGCTTGAACACTATAACCCTAAGCCTTCCCTTAACGTTCAGAGCCCCAGACAATCTCAAAATGCGCCAGAGCCGCGTAAGCCGAAACCCTATAATGATGCCTCATTTTGGACCCTGAACCCTATGTACCAAAAACCCTTCCTAGCCTATACCCCAAAACCCTAAACCCTAAACCCTAAACCCCATAACCCCATAACCCTATAACCCTACACTGTTCAAAAAGCCGCTTGCAACTGGCATCTAAGAGATTTCGAGAGCTGCGCGCGGCCTTGGCAGAGTTGCGGAAGCCTCGGCTTAGGCCGATACAGGGGGACCGCAGGGGGTCGGTCTATTTATTTGGGTTCAGGGTTTAGGGTTTAGGGTTTGGGGTTTAGCGTTTAGGGTTTGGGGTGTAGGCTTTAGGGTTTGGGGTTTAGGGTTTAATGTTTGGGTCATTAAAAGTAGCTTGTCTGAAGCTCGAAAGCAAGCCCTAAACCCTAACCCTTAGGCCGTGAAGGCGGCCCAGGCGCGGCGCGTCCAGGCGGCAAAGACCTTCGAGTAGTCGGCGTGCTTCACCTGGCAGCAGGCAAGGTCCGAAAATCAGTGGGCAAGGTCCATTGGCTGACCCACGACCTTGCCCACGGATTTTCGGACCTTGCCCGCTAATTCTCGGACCTTGACACCGCTAATTTTCAAACCCGGGCAAGGTCCGAAAATTAGCGGGCAAGGTTCGAAAATTGGCAGGCAAGGTCCGAAAATGAGTCATCTTCAAAGCCACTGGCTGGCATGAGGGTTGAAGAGCCCCAAGATTTAGGATTCAAGGGACTTAGGGGGGTTCAGGGCTTAGGGTTCTAAGGTTAAGGTTTAAGGTTCAGGGACGAGTGCGTAGGGCTTAATCGAAGCTTATTGTCTTAATGGTAAGGGATTCTCTGCGTGGGTGGGTACTTTTCGGGCGCTTGAAAAGCTGCTGACCTAGTGAATGCTTGGACCCTGAGATGCTGAACCTCAAAACCTAAACCCTAAACCCGAACCCTAAACCAGGTTGAAGGTACGTTACACTCCTCTCTGCTTGGGGAAGCTCAGGTTCTACAAGGAGGCACCCCCTGTACTAGAATGAGCGCAAGGTTTAGGGCTTAGGGTCTAGGATTTAGGGACACATAACCTGAGCTGTATGCCTATAACTCCCGAACCCTAGGCCGTGCGAACTGTGATGGGCTCCTAAGCCCATACCCAACGTCCGTGTCAAAAACCCCTGGTCCTCCGGTTTAGGGCTTAGTGTTTAGGTTTTGGGGCCTTTGAACCGGCCCTTTAGAATAGGGTTTTTGCGGCAAGTACAACTGCAGAGGGACCACAGGGGGATGCGATTAGTACTTGTTCCGACCCCTACATTACGTAACCTCTGCGTTGCTGCACTATCGAGCAGTGCTGGGAGGCATCAAGAGGCCTCAGTGTAGGGGTTGAACTTCATCATCGCCTCACAGCGGCTTTGGGTCTAGGCTTTATAGAAGCCTGAACTGGGCCCAAAACGAAGCTAGGTACAAAAAGGGTGCCCTTTTGGGTTTAAAGGGGATTGCAAGGGAACCTAAAGCAGAAAAAAAGGGGATAAGGGCCTACTCTGCGTCCTAGAATAATTCCCAAATATGAAGCTAGCAAGTTTTGAGGTTAGTTAGGGTTTGCCAGGGCTCAAAAGGTTCCCAAGCCCTAAGCCGTAAAAAACCCTAAGCCCTAAACCCTGAACCCTAAACCCCCAACCCTGAAGCCTTCAGGGCCTTAGGGTTTTAAGATTTGAGGGTTTTCGGGGTTTAGGGGTTTAGGAGTTGAGGGGGTTGAGGGTTTTAAACCCCAATCCCTGGTACGTGATGTAAGGGCGTATCGGGATCTGGGATCTGGAGCTTCGAGCTTCGTCCGGATTTCCTGAAACGAGGCAAAGCTCTCAGTTCGGTTTGCTTAGGGGGCCTTAGGGTTGAGGATTTGGGGCTCAGGGTGGTTTAGGGTTTAGGATTCAGAGCTCAAGGCGCTTGAAGATCGAAGTTGAGAGTCACGGTTTAGGGTTTAGGGTTTAGGGTTTAGGGTTTAGGGTTTAGGGCTTCAGGGTTTAGGGTTTGCGGCTCAGGTTTTCGGGTGTAGGGGAAATAGGGTGACTTGTCACCTGGTTAGATGCCATTGCGCAACTGACTTTCTTCAATGCCCTTGCAGCAAAAGTGCCAGCGAGGACTTCGAGGATTAGTCTAACTTAGGCGGTGGGAGTTCTCTGGACCTGCCACCATACATAGTGCACCCAAGGCCCAAGACCCCAAACCTCCCTAAGCCATACACCCTGGACCCTGGGATTTCAGGAGCCTGCTCGCGGAGATCCGGCGGCAGGTCTCTCAGCAGCAACCTGGCTCACTTAAAGCCCTCGAAGCCCTAAGCCCTAAGCCCTAAACCCTAAACCCCAAGCCCTCAACCCTAAACCTTACAACCCCTAAACCCCTGGACCCCAAAAAAACCCTCAACCCTAAAACCCTCCACTTTGCAAGCGGCTTAAGAACTTGAGGACTCAAGGGCGGAGCGTCATCAGAACCGAAAGCTCTACTTGGAGGTTCATGGTACTTACTAACCAATTATAACTGTACTTATAACTGTACTTATAAGTACACTTGTAACTGTACTTATAACTGTACTTATAACCATAATGGGCACTTAAGAGGCTCATAAGTGGGTTATAAGCACAGATATATTTGGTTAACAAGTACCATGAACCTCCAAGTAGCGGTTCAACAGGGTCGAAAGCCCTACCGTAGTATCGTAGGCACCCACCCAAGGAGAGACCCTAGTTTCCCGAGGGAGAAACCCAAAAACCTAAAAACCCAAAAACCCTAACACCCTACCCCTAAAACCTTAACACCCTAAAACCCTAAACCCAAAGCCCGAAACCCGAAACCCTCGTTTATAAACCCATGAAACCCTAAAACCCCCGGCCTCGCCGGCCGATCTAAACTCCACTTGGCGCAGAAGTCATCCTCGGCGCGCCTCTGAGACGCAAGGAGAGATGCTCACATGAGACCACACCCTCGAACCCTTAGGGTTTAGGGTTTAGGGTTTGGGGTTTAGGGTTTAGGGTTTAGGGTTTAGGGTTTAGGGTTTAGGCTTAACCCTGCTCAACACGACACCTCCAAGACCGTATGCGGGATGGCCTTTAGTCCCATATGGACTCTTGAGTAAAACTTCGAGCCTGAGGCTGCAGACACGGTATAGGGTTTTGAGCTTGGGGACGCAACAGACCCAACTGAGCAACGACAAACGTTGCCCCCCCGCCTGTAGCCGGCCGACAACCGCGACCGCGAGCCTCAGAGCAGCAACGTCCACTTCCCTCTTTTCGAAGGAGACATGTGATACAGCAGAAACTTCGGCTCCAAAAAGGGACACGTTTTGGCCGTGACTTCCGATGACGATCCGTGTTTTGCCTGACCCGACATGGTAGTGGCCATCCCCCAACTCTCCTTCGAGGGCTTAAAGAAGCGCCTGAACAGAATATTTCAAGAGCCAACTAGTTAAAGAGACCTCACCACATCAGGGCAGTTCAGGGGCTTGTAAGTAGCTTACAAGTACAGTTAGAATTGGTAAATACGTACCATGAACCTCCAAGCAAACCCCAAACCCCAAACCCCAAGCCCCAAAACCCCAAACCCAAACCCCAAACCCCAAACCCCAAACACTAAACCCTAAACCCTAAACCCTACACCCTAAACCCTAAACCCTAAACCCTAAACCCTAAACCCTAAACCCTACGGGGGCATCTTTGTGTTGCGGCCCAGCAGCGTGATGAACTACTTGAGGCGGAGGCGCCGCCACCTGAGGCTCCGGTTGTGAAGCGCAGGGTTTGGGGTTTAGGGTTTAGGGTGTTTAGGGTTTAGGGCTTGGTAGGGTTTAGGGTTTAGGGCTTAGGGTTTCAGGTCCCCCTGGCTACTGGAAGGGTTTAAGGCCCCTGCTTAATTTCTGGGACTGTTTAAGGTCCCCTGCCTCTGCTTACTGGGCTTCTTGGGAGGGTTTACGGTTTAGGGTTTAGGGTTTCAGGGTTCAGGGTTGCAGGGTTTAGGGTTCAGGGGTTCAGGGGTTCAGGGGTTGAGTTCAGGGTTTAGGGGATGAGGTTTAGGGTTTTGGGGATTCAGGCTTTTGGGGTTTTTGGGTGTTCAGGGCAAAGTTCTGGATTTCAGGCTTTTAGGGTTTACGGTTTGGGGCTGGGGGTTTAGGGCGAAGGGTGGTGGGCTCGGTGAGGGCGAGCTTAAGCTTTAGAGCTTTAGCTAGGGGTTTCGGTGCCGTGGGCGCCATTCCTGTTAACCTGCTACGAGCAGGTGAATCTCCTAAACCCCCTCTCAGCTAAATCCTCGGACCCTGCTTAACGAAATCCAAGGAGGATATAACTATACTCTCCCTTGCAGAATTCTTCGGCGAGCTACAAGACAGTAGGCCAAAGGGTAGCAACCCCAAACGCTGGGAAGCCCTGAACCCTAAACCCTAAACCCTAAACCCTAAACCCTAAACCCTAAACCCCAACTAAACCCTGTGTGGTTTGACAGGCCTCCAGCCTCTCTCTTGGGCGGCGGATGCCAGACGAGGCCTTTCCTCAAGGTTGTTTGGGGCTTTGGGGTTGAGGGTCTAACGGGTTTTTGGGGTGTAGACTGGGTCTAGGGTCTAGGACTCGGGTTTTAGGGCTTCAAGGTTTGGGGCTTTGGGCTTAGGGTCGGAGGGTTTAGTTTGTGGCTTTGGGCTTAGGCTCTAATGGGTTGAACTTGGGGCTTTTGGGTTTTAGGGTCTCAAGGGCTTAGGGTCCCCAAGCCAAGGGTTTCAGGATATAGGGGTTTAGGGTTTAGGGTTTAGGGTTTAGGTAAGCCCGAAACCCTACACCAGTTTGGTGGTTCAGGATTTAAGATATGGCGCGAGGCACGGCGCAGTGCATCTTTGTACCCTGTACCCAGGGGGCACCTGCTCGTCCTGATGCTCCAGCCACCGCATGGCGGCCACAAGGAGGTCGCCTCCCGACATGGCACCAAACGACGAACTGCCATGCAGAATGGCGCCTGCGAGTTCGCAGGCCTTGGCCACCTTCTCCGGTTCATCGCCCCTTTGCAGGAGCGCCTCATCCAGGTCAGGACTTGGAGGACGCTGCGGGACACACCCGGGAGCCGACACAGTGCTTTACAGTAACCCTAAACTCCCAAACCCATACCAGTACCACCTGAAAACTCCCTCCTGAAACTGTGTCCCACCCACAACACTCCCCAATCACTTAGCCAATTTTGCCCCAAACCCGAGGAAAATGAACAAAACAACTATGCGGAGGTGATAATGCGGAATAGTTGCACAACCTTGGAGGGCTTCTTTTGGATTGGTTTAGGGTTTGGGTATAGGGTTTAGGGTTTAGTTTAGGGTTTAGGGTTTATAACTTATTGGGCCTTAACGTAACCCCTCCACACCCCTGAGGCCATAAGCTTTGAGCCCAGAATTCTGGAACCCTAAACTCTAAACCCTAACCCTAAACCCTAAACCCTAAACCCTAAACCCTAAACCACAGCCAAAAGGATGAAGTTGGGGGGTGGGGGGGGGGGCTACCGTGACGCAGAAAATTTAAAGGCACGATTCCGGTCCGAAGCTCAAGATTGTGTACCTTTTTTTTTTTTGTGTGTGTTTGTGTGTGTGTTTTTTGTTTTTTTGTGGAGATTCGGTGGTTGATGGTGGTGGTGGTGGTGGTGGTGGTGGTGGCGGTGGTGGTGGTGGGGTGGCGGTGTTTGTTGATTTTGCTTGGGGGGAGGAGGGTGGTAGACTGGTAGACTGAATAGAATCAGAAACCCCAACAGCGATGCTGATACCCTGAACACTAAACCCTAAGCAACCCCAAAACCCAAAAGAACTCGCAAATTTCGTATGCCAAGGCACGTGCACATCCTCAGATGGACAGGACCCAGGACAGGACACCCAAACGTAGGGGACAGGGTTTAGGGATGTACCATGGGATCGGAAGAATGGCTAATGTATTCCCTTTTGGTCCCTACATAAATACATGCCATAATCAACCCCCCATACCCTAACCCTAAACCCTAAACCCTAAACCCTATTCTAAGTACTAAGGCCTTCAGGGCTTAGGGCCGAGGCATGTCGGATGCAGAGGGATCCTACAGCCAGGAGAAAGCTGGGAATCAAAAGGGTTTAGGGTTTAGGGTTTAGGGTTAGGGCTTAAGGCCTTCGGGTATTTAGGGTTTCCCTAAACTCAATGAAACCCTAAGCCCTACAGCCCCGCCGCGAATATTCAGAGAGTCTGCCAGGCATCTTTACGGTTGGGGGCTTTCGGGTTTGGGGTTTAGGGTTTAGGGTTTGGGGTTTAGGGTTTAGGGTTTAGGATTTAGGGTTTCGAGATCAAGTCTAAGATTGGAACCATGGGCCCACTGAGGATGGTCCCTTGCCCTTGTTTAAAGGGATTTAAAGGGATCCGACGTATGGGCCCTTAGTCTACATAGTGTATTCTTGGGTTATCGATCCCAAGTATGGGCCCTTACCCTTGTTGAAAGGGGTTTAAAGGGATTTAGAGGGATCCGAAGTATGGGCCCTTAGTCTAGTATAGTGTATAGAAGGGTTATCCTAAACCCTAAACCCTAAACCCTAAACCCTAAACCCTAAACCCTAAACCCCTAAACCCTAAACCCAAATTAAGGCCCCATACTTCGCATCCCCCATCTACAACTCCGGAAGTCTGGTACGAGAGCGTAAAGTTTAGGGTTTAGGGTTTAGGGTTTAGGGTTTAGGGTTTAGGGTTTAGGGTTTAGGGTTTAGGGTTTAGGGTTTAGGGTTGCTAAAGGGGCTGAGAAACTCTGGTAGCCCAGTAACTATATTTTGACAAGGAGCACCCTTTTCGGAGTGGCAGAACCAAGAAAAAGGCGCAAGAGGGTACCACCTACCAAACCCCGAAGTTTAGGGTTTAGGGTTTAGGGTTTAGGGTTTAGGGTTTAGGGTTTAGGGTTTAGGGTTTAGGGTTTAGGGTTGACATTGATCTTGCCAGCTCACTGGAAAGGCTCGGAGCGCCAGTGGTGGCGAGTGTCTCCCTGCGCAAAGGAGAAGACCCGCCTGAGCAGGGTTTAGGGTTCAGGGTTTAGGGTTTAGGGTTTAGAGGGTTTGGGGTTCAGTTCAGGCTCTTGGGTTTAGGGCTTGCTGCTTGGTTTGGGGGTTCTGGTGTTTAGGACCCTGCAAACCCTGGAAACCCAATAACCCCTATAAACCCCTGTAAACCCTGTAAACCCTGTAAACCCTCTAAACCTTATCAACGCTATAAACTCTATAAACCCTATTAACCCTCTAAACCCTACAAACCCTCTAATCCCTATAAACTCTGTGAATTCTATAAACCTTCTAGACCCTCCAAACCCTGTTAACCCTCTAAACCCTATAAACCCGCTACACCCGCTAAACCCTCGAAACCCTCCAAACCCTCGAAACTCTCCTCTAAACCCTCCTCTAAACCCAATAACCCTACTATAAACCCTCTAAACCCCATAAACCCCACAAACCCTGGCGCCTTGGCGGTGTGTGGCTACATGATCTTTAGGGTTTAGGGTTCATGGGTCTAAGTCTACTTACAGCCTGTTTGCACCTCTGAGCCCTAAACCCCAAGAACCCTAAACCCCAGTAACCCTAACAACCCTCATAATTTCCCCTAAGCCCGAAGACTCTAAGCCAAGCAACCATAGTGGCCAAGAAGACCTGGACCCTAGATTCCCATGTGAACCCCAAAAACGGAGTGTAGGGTTTAGGGGTTTATAGGGCTTAGGGCTTAGGGTTTAGGGCCTATAGGCCTAAACCCTACCGTGGCATCGTGCTTCAGCTTGAATCTGAATTGCCCGAGCAGCGTGCGCCTTTAGGGTTTAGGGTTTAGGGTTTAGGGTCTCCTGGCCTTGATCGTGCCTGACTGCACTCTGAGCTGGAGCTCTTTCTCGCCGATCTTGTCCGCAGTCTCCTTGTGGGTCACTGCGAGGAACTGCGAGGAGAGGCCCTGGAGCTGTACCTGCTGGAAATTTTTCGCGGGCTTGCCACCATCTCTCACCCAGCTGCGAAGCAGCAGTCTTTTCTTGGCGACCTGCCCTGTGCCTCTTATTGAGGCCTGGACCACAAGAACGTCCGATTTCGGTTTAGGGTGTAAGGTTTAGGGCAGTTTAGGGGGGCTTGGGGTTCAGGGTTCAGGGCTATAAGCCCTAAATCCTCAACCACATGAGCCCTAAACCCGAAGCCCTAGAGGCCGGACCCTGCTGCATGCTTAGGGTTCAGGGTTTCGGGAAACCTAAACCCTAAACCCTAAACCCTAAACCCTAAACCCTAAACCCTAAGCCATCCCTTACCCCACCCCCCCCCCCAAAAAAAAAAAAAATTGGGTCCCAGGGGCCAGCGGTAGTACCGTGCCTCCGCCGAATCAGGATCGGCCTCGCAGCCGAGGGGCTTCCAGAGGCGCAGTGTGGAGGGCTTAGGGTTGAGGGTTTATATAAGGCTTTTAGGGTTCAAGGTTTAGGGTTGAGGGTTTAAAAAAGGCTTTTAGGCTTTTTAGGGTTCAAGGTTTGGGGTTTATGGCCTCGTGTTTAGGGTTTGGAGGGTTTAGGGTGCGAGTTCAAGGGAGCCCGAACCCTTCCTAAACGCCCTACACCACTCCAAAGATTAGGGTTTGGGGTTTAGAGTTTAGGGTTTAGGGTCCCTTAAACCCATAAACCTCCCAAAGCCCAACACCCAAAACCGTAAAGCCTCAACCCGGCTGAGCCAAACAAATCAACACCTTCAATCCTGGACCCCCAACCGCTACACCACTGCACCCCTATCTCCCCCACACGTCTACACCTTAAGCCGCCCCTAGCCATGATTCCTCCACCCTGAAACCCTTGAAGCCTGAAAGCCTAAACCCTAAACCCCTAAAACCCTAAACCCCTAAAACCCAAAACCTTAAACCCTAAACCCTAAACCCTAAACCTCAAACCCTAAATCCTAAACCCTAAGCGCGCCTTTAGGAAGACGAGCTCGTCGCGCAGCTCCCGGCGCTGGTCCCGGAGGCTGTGCCGCAGAGCCTCCTCGAACCTGTTTCGGGTTCAGGGTTTGGGGTTTAGGGTTTAGGGTTTGGGGTTTAGGGTTTAGGGTTTGGGGTTTAGGGCTTGGGGTTTAGGGTTAGGGTTTGGGGTTTAGGGTTTGGGGTTAGGGTTTAGGGTTTGGGGTTTAGGGTTTAGGGTTTGGGGTTTAGGGTTTTGGGTTGTGGGTTTAGGGTTTAGGGTTTGGGGTTTAGGGTTTAGGGTTTGGGGTTCAGAGTTTAGGGTTTGGGGTTTAGGGTTTAGGGTTTGGGGTTTAGGGTTTAGGGCTTGGGGTTTAGGGCTTGGGGTTTAGGGTTTGGGGTTTGGGGTTTAGGATTTAGGGTTTGGGGGTTTAGGGTTTAGGGTTTTGGGGATAGGGCTTGGGGTCTAGGGTTTGGGGTTTGGGGTTTAGGGCTTGGGGTTTAGGGTTTGGGGTTTGGGGTTTAGGATTTGTGGTTTAGGGTTGGGGTTTAGGGTTTGGGGTTTAGGGTTTGAGGTTTTGGTTCAAAAGCTGGGTTTAGGGTTTAGGGCTTCGGGTGTCAAGGGTTTTCGGTGTTGGGGTTCTGGGGTTTGCGGCTTCGGGTTCTGGTTCGAACAAGCAGCTGCTCACCCATCTGCGCCACATACTTTGCCACCAAATCCTGAGCTTGCGAGGGTTTAGGGCCTATCGGGTTTAGGGTTTAGGGCTAGGGTTTAGGGTTTAGGGTTTAGGGCTAGGGTTCAGGGTTCAGGGTTCAGGGTTCAGGGTTCAGGGTTCAGGGTTGAGGGTTTAGGGTTTAGGGTTTCGGGATTAGGGTTTACGGTTTAGGGTTTAGGGGGCCTGGGCTGGCCTGCATCTGTGTGGCTTTCTGGCGAACTTTCTGGGGGAGACCGGCTGAGGGTCTGTAGGGTTCAGGGCAATCAGGGTTCAGGGTTCAGGGTTCAGGGTTTAGGGTTTAGGGTTTAGGGTTTAGGCTTCAGGGTTTAGACGGTTCTGAGGGTTCAGGGATTTAGGGGCTTGACGGTTATAGGGTTCAGGGCTATAGGGTTCGAAGGTTTTTGGGTTCTAGGGTTTTAGGGTTTTAGGGTTTAGGGTATTTAGGGTTTAGTAAGGGTTTAGGGTTTAGGGTTTAGGGTTTAGGGTTTAGGGTTTAGGGTTTAGGGTTTAGGGTTTAGGGTTTAGGGTTCAGGGTTTAGGGTTTAGGGTTTAGAGCCTAGGGTCTAGGGTTTAGGGTTGTTCATGCCTCATGGGTTTCCCTACTATACCCCCGCAGGTTCACCCCATAATTTCATGAAGCCTAGTTAGGGTTATTTTGGGAGGGAACCTAGGGGGTAGTGCAGAGGAGGGGGGGGGGGGGAAACCCATGATAAACCCTAAACCCTAAACCATAAAACCCTAAAACCCCAAAGCCGTGGTCTTTTCTTCCTTGCAGACCCGAACCCCGAAGGCAGATAGTCCCTAAGACCCTACAGGCCAAAAAACATCTTAGGGGTTTCTACTGGGTTTCTTCCTGGTCCAATAATCAAGGAGTAACAGAGGTTACACTTTATTATCCCTGCTAAATAGAAAAAAGCCCAAACGTTTACAGTTCATGATAGTGGCTGAATAAGGTTTAGAGAAGAGTTAGAGTGTCTAGGATCCCGCCAAAAGAAGTCTCAAATGGAAACAGGAGGCGATCACGCGCCGTGAGTCGCGCGGCGGCCGCTGCACGTGAATCTCGCCAGGTTGTTTGGGGTTTCGGTTTGAGGGTTTAGGGCTTAGGGTTTGAGGTTTAGGGTTTAGGGTTTAGGGTTTAGGGTGTAGGGTTCAGGGTTTAGGTCTCCGAAATTAGGGTTTAAATTAGGGTTTTGGAGAAATTTCCATACGCGACTGG